TAACCAGTGCTCTGAAACAGGAAAGAATTTTAAAACAAAACATACTCGCGTTTAATTTCTAGTCTGTGTGAGAGTCTCTGCTGGTGTTTTGAGGCTCTTCTCGCTCTGATCTTTGCGTGTCCCTTCCCTGGTTCGTCAGTATGCTAGGTGGCGTTGCATTGTGCGATGACACAAGTCCGTGCCAGTTTCAGTCTTTTCGTAGGGTGACCCTGCGTTTATTGAGCCAGAGCGCTCTGATTTTACATCGCCGCTGTGCCAACACAAAGGTAGATTGAAACAAATAGAGAAAATAAAGGCGGCTGAGCGGCGCTAATGTCGGCTCGAACGCCGTCAGATGCAGGAAAAACAGAACGACGGACAAACTCACTGACTATTGACAGAAAAATACAGAGCAAATGAACGACAGACACGAAAAGACAATGTCAGGTATCCCAATAGGGAAGCAGACGAAACAAACACGAGCGCATAAGCTTCAGCCACCCTCTGTATGTGTGTCGTAGTGTGTGTGTGTGTGTGTGTGTGTGTGTGTGTGTTGGTGTGGTGTGTTGTGTGTAAAGTCACGCCTGGCTGGCTGTTATCTACCATAGACTCGCAGGTCCCTGGAGGGACACCAGAGGAGTCATCTGATTCACTTGCAGTTTCTTCTCTGACTGCAAATTAAAACGTGACCAACAAAGAAATGAAGGAGTGCTGTTTTTTTTTTTTCTTTTCTTTTTTTCTCTCTCTTTCTTTTTTTTTTTAATTGAATCCATTCTGTTTCTGCTTAATCCTCCCCAAACAGATACTTGTCTAACATATAAAATGAACACATGAGCAATTTCGGTTTCTCTCTTCACCTGCATTAACATGCATCAGCTGCAGCTTTTCACCCGACGGTTGGAAGCGGCTCTCACATCAGAAAGCCCTCTCGCTCTTTGTCTCTCCTCAGTTATGGTCTGTTTATGAAACACAGACGATTGGCTCTGATTTGATTTGGCGTTCAGCAGCCCTGATAATTATGATGAATCTTCCTGCCTCTGTATATGTGTGTGCGTTGCAGACACTCCTCACCTCAGCGACTCGACGAAGCCGATGCTGCTGCTCTTCGGTGCCACTGTGCTCTCAGTCAGACCTGTGACACCGGAGCTGTAGGAATATTGATTGGCATTAATTTACGCGGAGCAGCAGATGTGTAAGATTTAGTACATTAGGGTACGTTATACAGTGACAGCCTGTCAATCTTAGAGATGCTTTGCAGTTATTATATTTTTCTACATATTGAGTTTTCCAGTGTGACAAATGCACCCATCTGGTGTCAAAATATATGAACTTATGTGTGCTCCGGTCGTGTCTTGAAGGAAGGAAGGTGAGTATTGTGCAGTAAAAGATCCTAAAAAGCTGCTTTCTGATTTGTTGTACACGGCATTTAACCAGCCATCAAAACAAATAGTACAAACAGGCATCAGGCGTTACAGGGAAGTCGCTGCGGTGCAATCGCTTTAATTGCTCACAATCAGGTACGCTGAAGTCAACTCTGTTTTGAGTAGTTTGACAGACCGAGGAACAACAAACTTCTGTTGGGGTTAAGGCCACGGTGCTTGAAATTGATGGCAAAAAACTGCTGATCTTCAAACAAAATCTAAGCAACAAGTGAAGTCTCTATGCATGCTTAATAGCTTATTCTGAATTATGTGCTTTTTGGAGTTCATCTGTGGAAGGAATGTTGAAGGTTAACAGTCGAGCCATTCATTGCCGTTAACAATTTAACCGAATGGAAATATGTTAACCACTAATGGCCAAGTCGTACTTTTCATGTCCATGTGTTCATTCCGATAAGCCGCCCCGTTCATACTATACTGTCGGGCTGTGCCGGATGCAGTTCCCCTCGTAGTGAGACAGAAAAATACACGGGGAATCAGCAGATGCTCACAGCGTACGTCGTAGCAGCGCATCCGTGATTGTTCCTGAGATCTGTTGGGCACAATGTGGGAATTTAATGAGAAATTAGGACTTTCTACTGTGATTGAACTCACTGTCAATGAAAACCCGTGTACACATCAACGCTCATCCGCATTCCAGCAACAACTAATTCAATAACAAGTCTTTAAATGATGAATTATGCAGGTGTGGATGGCAGAGATTCTCCTCGTACAGTTTCTGCTGCACTTGTTTAAAGTGCCGCTCGATTGCTGACACACGTGTGCAGGACTCGGGTGGTTGTGATTTGTGGACACAGCGAGCATAAAGAAGAAGGATGTGGATGTTAGAAAATGTTTAGCTGTGGTAACTGATTGCACCACCAGGTTAAGCTTCTTCCTGTTTGAGATGGAAGGCTGGAATCTGTAGCAACCTGAGGAGGCGGTCATGTGGCCAAGGTGCGGTTCCGTGTTGGAAACAGAGAGCATTGTGGGGGTTTAGCTCACAACGGGCCACGTATTGAAGACACATTCTCCAGTTCTCATTAATGAAACTGAGCCACTTTCACGGTAAATGCACGTCTCTGTGAATAAATATTGCTTTAATAGCATATGGACAAATATCCACTGTATTTTATATAACGATTAATTGATTATTGACAATTAGGTTGACTATTGGCTGAGAAAATTCATCTGTTGTGGGTGGTGAGGAGGTGATTTTCTCAATCTGAAGTTTGGGATCTTTGGTCTCAGATGAGATGAATATCATGTAATGGCTTCTAACCGTATCTTCAGGACATCTGCTTGAACGCTGCTTTAGTGAATAAACTGTAACTTCAGTTCCACAGAACAACTTGCTACCAGCCAGTATAACGTAATGTTAGCCGCTCGTAGCGCTGTTTATTTTCCCAACGTCCTTTGCTCGCCCCCGAGCATCATGGGTAATGAAGTCCCCAAAGTTATTGACTCATTACTTAGATTAAATATTCAAATTAAGTGCATTCATATTAATCTTGACATTATGTGAACCTTTCATTTGTAAATAAACATAATCTTGTCAAATAAAGTCACAACATAATATCCAGTTGTATGAACGTTTGTTTTTTTTGTAACTCGGGTGTTTAAGTGTCACTGTGCAGAAATCATTTTCTGAGTTTCCTAAAAGGTAACTGAAGTTATTATGAGGGCGGAGATATTTTCTTTTTTTTTCAAACATGAGGGATCTTTAACACTTAAATATTCAGTAAAAAAATGAAATATATTCTCTATTTTAAACATATTTAATCATACTTGGTGTCTATGGAAACTTAGAAATATATTTCAAAGTCATTTCTGTAGGTTTAAATGCTGCTGGCTGTGTGGTGGAAGATGGAATTGAATACATTTCCTAAATTTGGACATTGTCATCGTTCTCAAATCATCCATGTGGGGATCCCTCTGTAATCATCCCTTAATAGGACATTTCTAACCTAACTAAATTCTGTCTTAACTTTGTAAATCTCAGATTCAGTGGTCAATCGAACACATTTTGCGGTGCATGTTTCTGTAAGTAATGTGATTGCTTTTGCCACTAATTGCGTGAATTTTATATTTAATTACAATGAAGTTAATAATATTTTCACCTTAAGCTGTTTGTGCTTCACTCTCTCTCCTTCATCTCGCTGTGTCCATCCTGCTCTCTAACCCCTCTACTCTGTCTTTGTATTCCCGAACATCTCTAGTCTGCAGATGAGATAGAAACGATGGTAAGCTTCATTACAACCTTCAAAAACGCCTGCTCTTTTGTCCTTTCCATCTATTCTGCTGATTTCAAACTCTCACTGTGTTTCCCATTGTGCTTTTACACAGGCTGAGGGTCACTTTAGAAAAAAAGAAAAAAAGCTGAAACTCCAAATGGCGTGCTGATTGGAGTCATTTTTAATGATTTCTAAACAGACAATTGGGGAAAAAAGTAAAATATTTCTAAATTGTAGTGTCTGGGGGGTAAAAAAAATCCAGTTTGATTTGCCTGAATTGAAAGTAAATTGGACCATTCCTTTGTTGCTTCCATGCTCATACTTACAATACTTTTTTTTAACTATCATGCATGTTTGCAGTCAAATTCTCAGCAGCCTGCAGACGCTGATTACATTTAACAAAGAACTGATTTCTTAATTTTTGGAATTGACTGTCTTCCTGAAGAAAACCTACAAATTATAGCTAATACATCAGTTTTATTTTAATTTGCAATTCTCTATGATCCCTTTGAGTCTCTGTTGTATAGTGTACTCATCCTTTTTTTATTTCTCTCTCTTCTATGTAGCACCATCACGGTTTTTTTTCATCCGTCACTCCATCAGTGTGGTGCATGTTTGCATGTGTCTGTGTGTCAGCATGCTTTTATGTGCATGTTTTAGTGGACACGTGTGTTCCCGACAACAACTTCAGCGCTTCATAACTACTTGATAATAACATGATGTGAAGCGAAATGGTTTTTCCAGGCTGCCACAAACATAGGCATAATGGATAGATGGGAACAGATGTGTACATGAATGGTTTAATCTGAAGGTCGTGGCTTTGTGTTTGTGGGATTTTGATTTATTTATTTTTTTCTATTGCACTTATAAGGTGCCTCACGACGAGCTTCATGCAGAACCTTCCACATATCGAGACTGGAGAGCGTGTGCAAGCTGGTGTGCATGTGTTTTTGTAACACTCATGTTGTGGGGACATTAACAAAACACATTGTGCAGACTTTTGGGCGACGATTGATGACTGAATTTTAGGGTAAAGTTTGGTAAGAAATGTATGTAATGTCCTCTGAAATTATAAAAACATCAGTGTGTGAGGATAAATCCCTGCAGCGATAAGTGCAGCAGTGCTTTAGTGCACATTTTAATCACCCGCTGTCACTCTTTCTGCAGGAATTCAGCTGATCTTTACAGTTGTTCGTCTGCACACTGTGAACGTCTGACTTTCAGCAGCTTGCAGACTATCATAAAGTTTAAACATTAACCAGTGGGAAGGCTGTGTTTGCATATAGAGATGTTTAATTACTTTGTCGTACTTTGATGTTGAAAAGTTTGCCCGTTACAAATAGAATTCAAGTTATATTTGAGGACATGATGTACTTAGATTGTCTATCACGTTCACTGACCTGAAACGCTTTGAATTACGGAGTCAACACGCGCGATGGTTAGCTAGGTTTGATGTGTTGGCTCCCTCGGTCTGCGTAGGATTAAAACAGACAAGCTTTGTGGTGTCCGTGGGCTTTCCCTCGCCGTTGTCTACACAAGTAAAATGATTCCATGTTTTGCCTTGAGCGTCTGCCTCATCCAGAAGCTGTGGACGGTTGGCCTCAGCGCTTGAAAAGAAGCCAAAGAGAAAAAAAAAAATCGGTTGGCACGTCCTCATGTTCCTGCAAAGAGTGGAAGCAGAGCGTTGCAAACACACACGCCCCAATGTCGCACGTCAGCGTTAATCATCTTTACAAAGGAATCTTCTTTGCAAAGTTAAAGTATTCGTACTAATAAAACATTTGAAACGGTTTTGGTGTTGTTTTTAAAGGCACGGTATCGAAATACTTTGAATTAATAATGAGTTGCCTTCCCTGAAAAAGTCCTTAACTGTAATACATTTGTATATTTTGGACCTAAAATCCCAAAAAGCTTACATTTAGTTTCAGATAAATGACAATATTGCATGGGTTTATTAAAGCCACACACTGCATGCTTTTGCTAGAGGTGTGTATGCATGTTCATCAGCATCCACAAATCTGAGACCTCATTGAAAATGTAAACCTGGAAATCGGAGAATTGGTTATTTTAAGAAGAAATATTTTAGATTTTGCGCTGTATTCGGTCACCAATTAAACTGAAAGACAATGATGGCGCTGACCGACTCCTTTCTAGCCACAGCCACATGGCGCTAAGGTGGATGTGATCATTAGAGGCTTGTTGAAGAAACTTAACTTGCAGCCGTCATTTGTCTTTATAAATATATAAATATAACACTGCCTCTGGTTTCCAGGAGAACATTGTTTATAGAAGCACTGTAAAAGCGGTTAATATGGTATTCAACCTACGTTGAAGTGTCAGAAGTCAGATTGTTATTCTAATCTAAGAGGAACTTTCTCCGTCACATCATGACGAGAGCGAAGGTTTCTAAGGCGGCCGTGCGTGGAGCTTTTTGTAGAAACTGGATAAGCGGTATTTAGAGCACTATGAGGCAGAACAGAAGAGACCACACCGTCAGAAGATCAGTACATCAAGAGTTATTTACTGAGAGATAACGAAGCAACTTCATCACACGACACACAGTTTGCTAAATAAAGTAGAAAAGACTGCAGCAAATGTGTTTTTTTTAAAGAAGGCTGTACAGTCGTGGTTGTGGAAGACGAGGAGCGGAGTGTTTTTCCTTCTCCAGAGTTGGACATTGATGGTATCCCTCTGACCAAGAAGAAGAAGTAGCACTCCTTCCTTTAGAGCCATGCTCTGCTCTCTAGTTTCCATCTTTAGGAAACAAACACACCTCAAAGCTTTAGGGCTGGTCCGAATAGCGATGTCTGTTCTCCGGATATTCAGCCCAATTAATGGCGAATATCCCGAGTATTCGGCGATCAAAATTGATATCCTGATTCCAGCACAGCGAACGAATTGTCGGCTATTTGGCTATTGGGGTCCAACCCTACAAAGCTTTACCTTGCAAACCAAAGGAGACCAAGGAGTTCTGACTGTCATGGACTCTCCTCCATAGTTGCCAAACCTTAGTGACCCAGTGCACCTTTATGGGGCACTCGGAGACTGAAGAAGCCAAACATTCCCAACATGACATGAAGCTCTTGAGGACATTGTCACCTAATGCTGAGAACTATCAGGTTTTGAACAGTCCATGCAGTTCGAATGCTGGTGGCATTAATGAAAAACGTGGGCTGATCAAATACTGAGATGTTCTAAAATATATTGTTTTCACTCTTTAGTGGTCTTAGACTTTTGGACTGTGCATGTATACGTTTGTCTCTTACTGTATGTCATATTCGTTGTCAAAGTTATGGCAGCTATTGTGGGTAATACGTGAAATAGGGTTGTAATATTGGAGGTGCTATTTTAGGGTTAAGCACTGCTACAGCTTTTATAATCATGAAACTTTCCCAGTTGAATGATTAGAGCAAAAGATGAACAACTTTGCTAGAAAATCTCTGCTTCTCTGATAAATTGTCACAGGGAACAATCCTGAGCCCCCAAAAACAGGAGACGTTCATCGCTGCAGGGCGCACTTTGGCAAGAAACATTAATTCATCAAGCGTAGAATTCTGAGCGCAAGCAAAAACATTATGTTGTTGACAAAATTGATAACATAATCTGCAGGTTAAATTATTTCACTTTTTGACTCTGGGTCAATTTGGCAACCATGGTGCTATTTTTTATTTTTTTTTTGTCTCAAATTCAATAATGGTTTGGCTTGTGATCTAGTTGGAAAGGGAGCCAAGGTCCTGTGTGGGCATTTTGAACCATCTGCTACGCCACACTCACAGATACAAGATGATTTCCAGCTTGATTCCATAACATAACGTCGTCATAACACAAACCTCATCGTCTGTCTCGTGTTTCTGTGTTAAGTAACATCGAAAACAACTGAAGCTTTTAAATGTGAACAGAGCAGGGAAACATTTTTAGCTCCACCGTCCACTACTTTATTCTGCTCTCTTGTCTTGTTAATAATCTTGCACTCTCTCAGATTTGATAAAAACTACTGCCTGTAACAGAATATTATTAGTATTATGTAAATTAATCAAATGACTTCCTATTTTTTTTAAAAACACAACTACAAATGTAGTTATTCACCAATCTCCTGCCCTGCAGTAAGAGCACAGGTTGTAATCCATTGCTCTGCTTGTGTGTGTCCTTGTGCAGGCTCAGCAGCTACAGAAGAAAGACTCGCAGCTGAAAGCGCTGGATGCCTTCTACAAGGAGCAGCTGGCACAGCTGGAGAAGAGGGTACAACATTTACACAAGGCTACACACTCACACATACACAGAGACCTGGAAAGACTTCATTTGAGGCTGTCACAGCCTTTGAAAGACTCCGGAGTTGCCGAGACCAAGCTATGGATGCACACACACACACAGACACACACTGTGTACAGACTTGGGTAGACTTAACTTTGCAACGCAGATATAAAAGCACTGCCAAACAAACGCTGAAGTTCAGTCACATAAATGCAGATACACTTTCAATTTTCCCATGCAAACATGTGCGGACATAAATACCCCACATGATTCGTGCGTATTCACTCAGCTGCAACACCGTGGCAGAGAGCGAGTTGACATAAGTGGTCTGCGTCGCAACTCTCATTATAGGAATGCTGTAACATGAATGGCATGAGCAGCCTGAGTGTGGTACAACACCACGCCAAATGACAGCGATGGTCCCATTAGCATGATGGCTGACTAGCAGAGCTTTTTTCCTCCTTCTATTTCCTTTATTCATGGATCTTTTTATGATGTTTGTGTTCGGTGCCAATGCACTGGGCGCCACGCGTAGCAGTTAGAAATTCCATTATGCTAAAAAAGTGTGTTTCAATGTACAAATACACAAATTTCTAAAGCAAATTCTAACTAGCTGACGCAGCAGAACGCGACTACGAGTACAGCGTGCACACAAATCTGTAGAAGAAGCACTACGCTAGGTGTATCCATAAATGTGATTCAAAAGGGAACACAGATTTCATCCAGCCATCTCCAGAGAGCCCTTAAAAGCCTTTTCATTCCCTTACATCTCTCTGTTTGACATTTGCCAGGCAGAAAAGGTGTGGTTTCAAGTTAAGTCTCAGCCTCGCCAGGCACCACACAAGAAGGACCTTTACATGGGCTCTCTGGGGGGAAAGTGCTCCTCTATTTTTCGAATGGAGAAGACCTTTTTACAGGGCATTATGCGTAAAATCTAAGTATTATGTTTTGCTTAGTGTGGCTAATTCAAGCCTGTTTTGCACAGTGAGCGGTGGGAGTAGATGAGGCACATGGGGCAACTGCAACACTGGAGTATCATCACTTCCAGTTGCTTCTCCTTTTAGCCGAGGACGGACGTCATACGCAGCTTCTTCGCTCCGCTCTCATGATATATTTAGTCAATCTTTTGTTTGTTGCTAATTGCTATTGGAGAACTGAAAGGCAGAAAATCTCATACAAAGTTTGGGCTAAATTTTCAATAGTTCGCCCACCAGTTCAGAAAGACTTGCACGACTGCTTGTGTGCATGTGAGTAAAGGGTATGTTTAGTGTCTGTCATAATCTATAATAAGCGGATAGAGTCACTGACTCAACTGGAGCAATGGGATTTTTTCTGTTTGGTTAAATCTAAAGTTTGGGATATTTGAAGCTAGGCATGTCCAATCCTGTCCTGCTAGTCCCTCCACTGAAGCCAAGCAGGGAGACAAGAAAGAGGTCTTTCTTTCTTTTTTCTTTTTTCTGTGGCTGTCTAGTTTAAATAGCAGACGGGCAAACACAAGCAGGCTTAAATCACCACAGCACCGAATCTGTACAATAATTACCATTCAGTCAGTCTAAATAAACATTTATTACCTTGATGAATACACATATTTAAAAGACACACACACACACAGGTCTTGGTGTCAGATGCCTGGCTATTTGTGTTAGTCTCATTACCAACAGGTTGGGTTTGCAGAGGGAGTAGAAGACTGACAGGCTGGCATACGGGTGGCACAAGCTGTGTTTACTGTTGAGCTTAAGATGTTTGTAGACAGACCTCTATGTGTGGGCATGTGTGTGTGTGTGTGTGTGTGTGTGCGCAACAGACAAAGATAAGAGATATGATTTGCTTGCATACTGTATATTCAGGTGCACGTGTACAGTATATGCAAATTTCTGTGTCTATCTGCAGGCTCAGTTGTGTTTACAGACGGCAGTGCCCAGTTCTGTTTGACTGCTCAAAACGCTCTCAGTGCTTCAGTGTTTCAGCCGAACTAAACCGTGATCAGTCAAGCCAAACTTAGCTAAGCTTTTGCTAATGTTATCTCACTCTTTACATCAACATGTGTCCCGGGTTTGGATGTACTAAAACGTCCTGGCATTAAATATTTAGCCGTGTGTGCACTGGGGAGAGGTTTGAAAAAAAAAACGATTTGTAATTTCATTTTCAATCCAACACCTCAGAGCTGACAAAACAGTCGGGATGGAACTACTTTTGTACCTGTCACCTTTGGAAAAAAACACACAGGAGTGTTTTGGTGGCAAAACTCTATAGAAATAAATGTGAGAGACAGATGCATTTGTCAAATACAGAATGATGTAGTTCAGTCTCCTTTTTCTCAGCTCAAAAGCAGCTTTAAACGTTGCAATATATAAACTTTATTTCCATTTCTACTCACTGAGGTTTTGTGTTTGTAAAATATGAAATGTAGCTGATATTAATAAATTTTTTTGCAAATATTCATCTCTCTGTTGTGACAGTGAGGAGGGCTACTTGTTGGATAATCTATCAGATACAAGCGCATCTGTCTACGTTTGGTTTTTGCAAAAAAAAAAACGTCAGCAGCACACAAGAAAACCTGCAGTAACATTTATTTGATATGGAAGTAGGCACCTTTAAATACCTGCCTAATTCTTCCTTTGTCTTTTTTTTTTCTCCTCTTCATCCTTCTCTCACTGGTGGTCTTGCGTTCTCTCTCACTCTTTCTCACACACTCCTGTCATAGTAGAGTATAGTTTGAAGCTGGTGGAAATAGAGCGTACAGAAGGAGATAATAATCCTCCTCCAAGTCTGACAGGTTGCTTGACAGGCTGTCAGCAGGGGCTTCTATGTAGTGCACCAGAAATATCTGCACACTAAAAACACACTAGACACACACACACTAAACACACACACACACACAAACACACACAAACACACACACATTGCTTTACTCCAAATAATGCCAATGGCAGTACCTTTATTCCTGGCCAAACAGAGGCAGAAGACCTCTTAAAGATGGCAGTAACACACCTGCACATGCACACACACACACACACACACACACACACACACACGCACGCACACGCACACACACACACACACAGAGTTGGACATGACTTTGACATATATTCATTTACGAGTCACTTAACCTTCCTCCTACACCGAACCTAACGCCGACTTTTTGTCCTCACAATGCCCCCTTTGTAAATGCACAACGTACAACACACAAGTACACACTCATATGTATATTTATTAAAACGTACACATGCATATTGGCAACGCTATGTGTCTTAGTAATGCTGGTGTTCTGGCTTTTTTTTTTTTTAAGCACTGCATTAAAAACTCCACTTTTCTGCTGTGTTGCACTTTCTTATGGAAATGCATACACTCTGGGCCTTATGTAGACCAAGTCAAAGTTTAACGCTTTTCATCCCACGAAAAGCTATCTGCTCAATATGCTGTAGCAAGGGCTTTCGATTTGCTTATTAGTTTAGCTTGTTAACAGTATTTCCACTGAGGCTGCACCCATCTGGAGATGAAGATATGAGTTTCATAATAAGTTAACGTAACTGAACATTGCAGACTTGTGCATAACATTCCAGTTGCCTCATTATTTTTCTTGGATGAAAGGAGTAATTGTGTACATTCCTCGAGTGTGGTAAACACACAACACGGTGAGATCCAACCGGCAGCGTTTAATTTAAGTATGCAGTGTCCAGATAAAGGCAGAGTCAGGCTGAAAAATATGAAAATCATTTTGACACAGAACTATCGTTGTTGTGGTAAGTATTGTTAAAAAAAACATTGGGCGGTTGGCTTTCTTATATATATTTATACTGTTCCATGTCATTTAACCTTCTACCTTGGCCTTTAATGACAAAAACAGCCTTTTCTCTTTCACAGCAGTCATCCCTTTATGTTGTAAGAACTTTTTTACCAAAGTGATTCTTAAATTTCTGAATTTTGTGAAAAGAATAAAAGTGAAGCCTATGAGTGGGCATTTAGGGCAGATTGACAGCTAAGCCTTACTTTTTTAAGAGGGAACAGGAACGCGTCATATATGAAGTAGACCAGGCAGTGCATTTCAGTCAGGACTTCACATCTAACCTCCGAGTAAGCTAAAGCCTGCCTCACATTTTGCTGCAGGTGTGCTCTGCAGTAACAAGGGGACACTAACATGCATAAGCTGTCATCTGCGTGTGCCGTAGGGTCACAGCTAATGTTAACAGAGTTGTTAGTCGGAGTGATTGGCTGACGAGGTGTTCCATTAGTGACTTCCCTGACCCTCCAACCAATGGCTACGGCGCAAGACAAGAATGTGAGACATGCGAGCCGCAGAGCAATGCTTAAGTAGAGGGGAGTGCATACATTTAGGCGTACAGGACATGGAACAAGACACAATGACATAACTCATAAAACTCACACGCGTAACACACACAAAGGCCCACACACAGCCCGGGTTCAATGGTGTGAAACGATAGAAAATTCTTTAGTGTTGTTCAGTGAATGCCGTTGCCACTGTCAGGTCAGAGTGAGATGAAGTGGGAGTGTGTGTGTGGGTTAAAAGACTACTCCTTTTACAGGTGGATCAAAGAGCATGTGTGTGCATGTGAAAGTTATTTTTTTTTTTTTTCGCCACCCACCTGTACAACCAGCGTTTGCAAAAAAATTAGACTTTATTGGCAAGTGTCCGTCGTTTCTTTTATAATGCAACACAGTTATGTTGAACAAACTTTTTTGTCCAAATATGAGAACCTTATCAGTATTCTGACCAACCCGTGTGAGAGGCTGTATATTCTTAAGCTGTAGCTCGCAAGGTTGGTTCTTACGGTTTACGAAATATTTGTTGTTGTTGTTTTTTTTAATGAGCCAACAAGAATGAAAATAATCAGAAAAAATAAAATCTCCCCAGTTGCCTTGGAGCTTGCCATGACCTCCGATGTTCTCAAACCAATTTTTAAGAAATGTATACTGGTAGTTGTAAACATGTCGGCAGCTGTGGAAAGTGGTTGCAGTGGGCAAGCAAG